TGAGGACACATACTCATCACCTCTCTCCTAATCACTCCAAGGAGTGTTGCCGTGGAACAAATGCAAATCTCCCATCTGTCATTGTGAAGAAATAGCAGGTCTGAAATCATCATTTTTTCCTATGCAAATAAGAAGTGAAGAATTTGACAGTAATTTTTAAAGAATCTGCCATTATTTACCCAACATAGGTGCATTTCACACCATTTGTAGACACCAAGGGGCCTTGGAAACAACAATGGAATTTTTAAATTTTTTTTTTTCAACGTTTATTTATTTTTGGGACAGAGAGAGATGGAGCATGAACGGGGGAGGGGCAGAGAGAGAGGGAGACACAGAATCGGAAACAGGCTCCAGGCTCCGAGCCATCAGCCCAGAGCCTGACGCGGGGCTCGAACTCCCGGACCGCGAGATCGTGACCTGGCTGAAGTCGGACGCTCAACCGACTGCGCCACCCAGGCGCCCCAACAATGGAATTTTTAACTGGACCTCGTTACCCAGTAACTTCTTTAGCAGTAGAAAAATGGCACTGTATTATAAAGCCTAGGTATATGAAAAACCCCTTTAAATAATTATCAGATAAGTAGTAGCATTTTGGAGATGTCCAGAAGATCTCATTATTCACTATCAATAAATGTTTCAAAGTAGGGATCTTTCAGCTAGTATACTTTCCAAATGATATAGGTTAAAGAGCCGCATGAATAGGAATGACAAATATACACTACATTCTCACAAAAGTGATCAATAAATAATTTTCAAAGTTTAAGCAATAGGCAAAGATTCAAATTTTGTTTAGGAATTCAGTGTATAGTCTAAATCAATAATAAGGGGAAAGGGAAGGTTGATAGCATATTTTATGCTTTTTCAAATGAAAAGGCATTTTTCAAGCAGTAAGGTGAGAAACATGGCCATTTGCTTCTGTCCCACTCCACCAGAAAACCCATTTTCTATGGAAGTTACTTAATCTCACTTAATATGGAAATTTAGGATTTTTATTTCAATAGTTATCTTACGGAATTTAAATATTTAATTGTGTAATACTATGTTAACTTTATTGGGTGATGGATTTCATTTCCCAAGTGTTTAGTAATTCAAATCAAGGCAAGAAAACCATAATTAATATGTTCTAGTCTATGTAAGGTATATTCCATACCAAAAGTGAATGTCAAGTAATTTTCAGAAAACAAAAACTGTTAAGCTCTGTGCCAGAACAATATCAAGAACAGAAAAAGGAAATCGTTCAAGTAGCTTACCTTTCTCCAGAATGTGCAAATAGGCTTAAGCTCCTTGATTGTAAAATAGAAAATTCATGGAATGGAGACTAAGTCCTAGTTTCTGCCCTTAGGAACCTAGCAATGTTGAAGAGAAATGTGTCAGTTACCCAAATAAGACAGCAACAACATAACAACATAGTATTTTTAATACAAATAGTGATATAATATAAAATAATGTATTTCTTTTGAATCTGAAATATATCCTCAAAGTGTGATGGCAGCTCAGTGGGTGGAGAAATCATATTCAGGAAAAGAATGATGAAAGATTCTTGACTTTGTCATTAAAAGGTTTCAAAAGGCTGCACTGGGGACAGTTGTTCAGCTTGGAGGGAATGGAGGGAAGAGACAGAGACTGGAAAAGAAGAGGATATGTGATGATATCAGTTTAGGAACAACTAAAACAACCAGAGTTTGACAGGGAATAAATGTATAAAGTGAGATGCTACGCAGTATAGCTGGAAAAGAAGACTGGGGTTAGTTTGTGGTGAGACTTGAATGTTAGGCTAAAGAATTTGATGGATTTTAGTAGATTAACAACATGCCTTTTAAAACTTCTGTGTAGAAGACTGATGTAAGAAATGTGCTTTAGGCATTGGTGTATAGAATGGCAGAAAATACTGGACGTTGGAGAACTATCTGCAGGTTGCTGTAGGGTCCTGACTTGCAGTAAAGAGGTTGAAGTTACATTATTGGCAATGGGAGAAGAAAGGAGAAACATAACTTAGTAGCAAGGGGACTTTCAAGTACATGTGTCCTGGTAACTGATTTGAATGTGTGGAGTGAGGAATTTGGGCAATTGGTGATAATTCTAAGATGTCAAGACTGAGTTATAGTGAGAGAATGCTTATGCTATTATTCATAAAGCCGATAGGAGAAGCAGGTTTTTTAGGTTGAGTAAAAGTTAGAGTTTGGTTATTGTATTATGGTGGGTTGTAGATAAGTTATAAAAGTTTACTTCTTGATAACACTCCGTGTCCAAGAATGGAATGCTCTCCATGAAGTTACTCAGAGCTCCCACCTGATGGATGTGTCCATCCTTATCAGGAACTGCTGCAGTAGAGGAAAGAGAAAGATTGAAAACTGTAGGTTTTTTACCTACTGGATCAGCCTGAAAATGACATATCACTTCGCTAAATTTGGCCAGAATTAGCCAAATGGCCTCACTTAAATACAAAAGGGTTGAGACTATAATCTCTTGTAGGTTCAGGAAAGAGAGGATACTGGTGAGCACTATAATGTCTACTAGAAATGCACTGAGTGCAAGATGAATCTTTCCATAGCTTTGGATAGTGTGTGTGTGTGTGTGTGTGTGTGTAAAGAAGAATCAGTAGACAAAGAATACTTCCTCATACTTTATTTAAAAAGTCTGTTTTGTACTCAACTTAAGGAGCTTTGGACTCACAAGCTTTCCTTCTCTTGACCAAAAGGTATTCTACATAATATTGCTAGGTAATGATATTCAGGCTTCACAGAAGTAAGATGTTCATTGTATAATGTTTCTCAAAATGCTCAAGAGAATTTCCAGAAGTTTTTTTTTTTATTAATTTATTTATTTTGAGAGAGACAGAGACAACATGAGTGAGAAAAGGGCAGAGAGAGAGAGAGAGAGAGAGAGAGAATCCCAAGCAGAATCCAGGCTGTCAGCACAGAGCCAGACACGGGGCCTGAATTCACGAAACCATGAGATCATGACCTAAGCCGAAACCAAGAATCAGACAGGACACTTAAACAACTGAGCCACCCAGGCACTCCGAGAGAATTTCCAGAAGTTTTAAATGGAGTTTTACTAAATAAATTCTTGTCTAACTCTGTATTGCAACATGGAAGATAGGGAAATCATTTGTATTTTTAGTAGTTTAGTGAAATATAACTTGTGCCATGCATGTGAGTATTTGGAGGCTTAACTCACTTCTAGATTATTCAAAAGTACCTATGATTTCAAGTATCCAAGACACAATGAGAAAGGTTGGGATAAATGTAGTCCCCAAAACTTACTGTTAATATCACCAATTGTATCAATTGAGTTTTACTCATTGTTTTCACAAGGCAATTATAAAAAAGCAGGGAAAGTATTTGGTAAACTGCATGCAATAAGGCATTTCCAACTTCTATGAGATTCTTATTGGCCTACCAACCAAGAAAATAATCCTGAATTTGTTCAAATGTTTCACTTTGATAAATTTAATGAATAAATTTATATGGACACCTACTGTTAATATCTCTTATATCAATATAATAAATTCTTTTCTTTACCAAAATCTCCTGCTTAGAATAAGTTACATAGCTACCCTACCTACATTTCACTCCTTAGCACCAGAGGTTGTTAGGTTACTATAATCACACATAATTTTGCTATAGAGTTGATATGCAATACAGTTTTATTTAAAGTAGACTGTTATTGGAGCACCTGGGTGGCTCAGTCGGTTAAGTGACTGACTTCAGCTCAGGTCATGATCTCACGGTTTGTGAGCTCGAGCCCCACATTGGGCTCTGTGTTGGGCTCAGAGCCTGGAGCCTGCTTCAGATTCTATGTCTCCCTCTCTCTCTGCCCCTCCCCCACTCACACTCTGTCTATGTCTCTCTCTCAAAATAAATAAATATTAAAAAACATAAACTAGACTGTTATGGGAAATTTTTTAAATAACTAAGTGTAAGAAATTATAATTTAATCATACCTTCCTTAATTTAAAATGTTGAGCTCAACTCCACTTTGAAAGAAGGGCCAACAGTTTAATATCACAAATAGGAATTTATACATTAACTTATTTATTTCAAAATGCAACTTATGACATAAATCATTATAAATATCATCTCCTGTTTCTATACACCTATACACACAAACAACTATAATATGACAATCTAAGGCATACTTCATAAGGGGAAATTTTAATGTATAAATCAAGTCAATGAGTCAGATTCTCACATTGAGATGCTTTTTTTTTTCTACTTTTTTTTTAAATACAAGTTGAGTGCTTTTAGAAATGGCATAATACAGCATGATAGCAATTTATCTCAGTTAATGCTGTTTCCAAAGGTAACTAACTCACAGAGAAAAGCAGATACCCCTATATAAATGAGACTTGGAAACATTACAGTTCATAGCCAATTCAACAGCTTCCTTCAAAAAAAAATGTATCATACATATGTAACCTCTGCCAGAAATGTCCAATAGGTTTAACAAACAAAATAAATCACCATACAGTATACAATTCCCAGAAGTCTGTGGTCTTTTAGTTGAAAACATGATTAATAGGAACACAAGTTGCTTTTGCAATACGCTGCATCAGAATATGACTGAGGTTTGCTGAAAGTCACTTAGCAGGATAAAAGGCATATATGTTTAACAAAAGCACATCGATGATAACACACAATGAAACCCTCATGAACACAAACTGCTTTAAGATTTTTAAATAACCTCTAGTACCAGCAAATCCAGCAAAGAATATAATTTCAAAAAAAATATTTTGACTGAGTAAGAGCAAAAATTAATTAAAATTTTTACGTAGCATTTTATCTCATTTTAGAAATCTAATGCAAAATGAATTACTTAACAACGGTCCTTATGATTACTGGTTTTTTAATGTTCTTAACTTTACTCTTAGCTGTTTACAATTTACCAAGTTTCCAGATACCATTTTCTCCTTTGTTCTCAAACTCAAGCCATAGCAATACAAGCTAAAGAGTGACTTTTTAATGTTTTTAAAATAAAAATCTATAACAAGAACACTTCACTTTTAAAGATACTGACTTTTTATTATGGGACCTTAATTAGTGTTAAATTTAAAACAATTCTTTTCAAGACAATTTATATGTACTGGCAACAAACATGGGACATACAGACGCAGGTTCATGCTAATGTTAAATTACACAGGAAATCACTAGAATATTTGTACATGAAACAAAAAGAATTCTAGAGGTACATTGACCTCTAAAAGGGTAAGTAATTCAATGGTTCCCTGTTTAAAATATCAGTTGTGCTCCTCTTTCCATATGTATTGGATCCCACATTGGTAGGAGAAAGAATGGCACCAAGATTGTTACTGGAACGAATTAAGAAATTTGCCAGGCGTTGGGTCGCACATGTGGCAGTGTTGCATTTCCGCTTTTCCACTTGGTTACTGGTGGCATAGAACAAATATGAAAGGTTAGAGACTTAGACTCATGGTTGGATATATTAATGTGACAACAAATATATCAATGGGAACTGGTTACTTTTACATAAGTAACTCAGTGTTTTGGTTTGGAAACAGCTGGATAACAGATTTTTTTTTGACACCTTGAAAATGCAGCAGAATCGATTTTTGACTAGGAAATCATACAGCAAAACTTCCATTATAGTCAATGTTGAATTTCCCAGTATGATCCTTTGAAACTTTAGAATATATTCCAAACAGTAACAATAATAATAAAAGGTTTCCTTATGTTATATTCTTCTAAATCTTGATGAATCTAGTTCTCAATATATAAAAAGCATTTAGAATAGAAAATGTATATGGAATCTGGAATATGTAGAATTAAACACATATATATTCATTTCCCACATCTTTCTAATAAAAATTAAGCAGTGTAAGATATTTTTGTTAAGTTCCTTGAGATCATCAAATCAGGGGTGTTAAGAAATAAATTTCAAGTATTATAAAGTCTCAAGAGAATCAAATTTACCATCTGTTCCTACACTTGGACTATTGTAGTGTGGGAGTTCTGTTACTCTTAATATAAATACATGAATGTTACTATCTTTCTGCCACCTACTTAGTTCCTTTTAACAATTTTAATGATAAGACTAGGCTGAATGTTAAAACTAAAAGACTTTTTATATTAATAGTATTAATGTTCACCACATTCTTTCGGCCAGCTGGAACAATTGCATAATGATATTATAGGTAAGTCAGAAATGATCACTATGGTTAAATAATTGATTTGAATTTTAACTTTTGTTTCTTTTTACAGAATTTATTTATGTCAACTCTACATTTTTGTACCACCTTTTGTTTTAATGCGCTCTCAAAATGATATTGGAAATGGATACAGAATAATAACATGCTTCCTTTTTGTAGATGATTATAAAAGCTAGGGAAATGTTTTAATTTCATAGAAATAAAAATATTGGTAAAACTTAGGATAAGTATAAATTGAGAAAGAAATATAGGTATGAAGCAATGTTCAGAAGCCAGTGGTTTTACATAATTTGGGGCAAAATGCATATATTTTATTTCAATGTGTTTACTTTATGTGGAGAGTACTTCTTATCTGTATCTCTGTATAGTGATAGCCTCGGGGTGTTTTTAAATCTCACGTGAAACTTGAGGGTTTTTATTCTCATATTTTTTCCTAAATACAATAATTTCTTATGGCATTAGGTATCTGGATGATACCTTCTGGTATTAGGTATTGGGTTGAGTCTAAGTGTATGCTGACAAACCAATTATTCAGGCAAAGGAAATCCACTCTGAGACATAATTACTTGGTATATATGATAGTATTATTCATATTATCTATTTAATTATTTCTCTTTACATGTGTCGTAAGCATGGCCAATGTGCATTTCCAAAGAATGATTTAATGCTTTTTAAGGATTAAACCAATAATTCATACATCAGACATTTAATTCTGAAACAGAATAAACTTTTCTTGAAAAAAGCAGAAATTAGAATTTGACCCAAACACTTCAAATTAATAAACATAAAGAAATAAATAAAGTTCTGAGTGAAATTGGAAAGGTGATATCTGTTCCAAGATATGTTTGGCAAATGCTTGGAGTAGAGTGTGAACTAGTCTATTTGCTAAATATCTGAGTGGTACTTTGATAATTGCTCTCAAGGTCTGTAACAGGATTTAAAATTATTCCAACCAAAATGTTATCTTATTTGGGTTAGCTAGAAGAACCATCATTCTACTAAACAGAAATATTAAGAGCTTTTATGATGACTGATTTCATTATTGTGCAAATGCTTTCACAAACACAACTTTTCATGTAAACATAGCAACAGTATGTACAAGATTCTATCCCAAACTATTATTAGGATGGAAAAAGACAGATTAAATGGTTAGTAAAAGGCATCACTCCCCTACTTTCAGGCATTTTGTTCTCTTTAACTACTTGGGTAGGCAAGGCTTGCCTAGCATCTAGTAACAAACACTGGTTCAAAGCTATTGACAATTTATACACATGCATATGTCCTTAACTTTAAGAGTTTAAAAAATGAAGACTGTAAGCTAAAGTATCACTCTTAAATTGTCTCTCTTTAAAAACACCTCAGTTTCAGGGTTTTTAAAAGTTTTAAACTGTATCCCTGCTCTAGCTCTCGATATTCATTTGTGGAAGTATAAGAATTCCTACAGCAAGCTCCTATGTGTATAGCTTGAAAACTCTGTTAATTATACTGTTAGATAATCTCTGATTATCTGCTAAGCAGGTTTACAACTGAGTGTTTAAAAGGTGTGGGCAAATGTATGGTCCTGTTGCTCCAGTCAAGAGTATTAAATAACTATTTTTTAGTATGACTTGTAAAGTCTGTTTGTTACTTTTTTTTTATTTTAAGATTTTTTGAACTGTTTATTTTTTTATTTTAGAGAGAGAGAGAGAGAGAGAGCATGAGGGGGAGCAGAGAGAGAGGGAGAGAGAGGATCCCATTGCAGGCTCTGTGCCATCAGCCCACCAACTGTGAGATCATGACCTGAGCTGAAATCAAGTGTCTGACGCTTAACCGAGTGAGCCACCCCGGTTCCCCAAGTTTGTTACTTCTTAATCTCACCTCATACATGTGTAGAAGTTAAAAAAGATCTCAAGTGAGATGATTAAATTTTATGAGAAAAATCACATTCAATGAATGATAAATCAACATCAGCTTTGTCTTTTAAAGGTGTTTGAAATTTGAGTCATTTTCTGAAGAAGCTTTCTCAAGAAGCTTTTTTTGAGGTTATAGAATATTACATGGTTGAACAGCTCAGGATGATAAATTTTCATTAAAAAAATGACCAGACATACTCATTTCAGGAAACCCATTAAAGAGCAATTTGAAGAATGCTTTACAAGTATCTCTAATAAAGATTCTAAGTAAGAGATTGTGAAAATAACTTGATAATAATGTTATATACTATTTTATTTTCAAGTGAAGTTCACTTCCTAATAAACTAATATCCATGAAGCCATACTGCATAAAGATGCTTATCAAATGTCTATACCTAATGAAAGAAAAGATCAAGATATAGACAGAATTATGAAGTAATACTGCTAATTTTCCTGTCATTCTATTGTTCTGCTGGTTTACCAGAAACTTCATGTCAGTTTTAGTTATTTTTATCCACAAAAATCCAATTGAAAATCAGAGTCAATTCTGAGAACATCCTGTAAATTCGATAAGCCTGAAAGGACAAAGGAAGTTTGATAACTCCTGCTATTTGTTTCATGTGGGTGCTGTAGAAATATACATATCACCACAGATTGTCACCTCAATGAAAAAACACCCCAAGGGAAAATGGACAAGATGCTAATAATTCTATGAGAAAAGTTCTAATATGACTTAAAGCAAACTCTTCAAAAATAAACTTAACTCTCTTTGGTGTTAAAGAATGTGTAAGTTCAGTCCTAAAAGACTACAAGGAGTCAAACTGATTTAAGTACAAACAAATCCTCACTCTATTGTATATGACATATGCATGCATTTGGACTTGAGAATCTTTTAAATAAAAGAATTACAGTTTTAAAGGCTTTCCACTTGAAAGTTGTAATTACTGCTAACATTATCACCTGATAGTTTTTAGACTTCCTTAAAATATTACCAGTTAAATGACATGACACCTTCTCAAATAAACCTTTTTAGGAAATCCTGGTGAACATGCTACCTACTGAATTCATTTTTAAGAAGTATTAATTTACATTTAGTGCAGCTCAGAAGTAATCTTATGAAGAATATATTTTTTTATAATTTTATTTCATTAACAGAACAGTTAACAATATAGAAAAAAAAAACCCTAAGAGCAAATGGCTTTTTAAAAAAATTTTTTTTAACATTTATTTATTTTTGAGACAGAGAGAGATAGAGCATGAACGGGGGAGGGGCAGAGAGAGAGAGAGAGGGAGACACAGAATCCAAAGCAGGCTCCAGGCTCTGAGCCATTAGCCCAGAGCCCGATGCAGGGCTCCAACCCATGGACCGCAAGATCGTGACCTGAGCTGAAGTCGGACGCTTAACCGACTGAGCCACCCTTTTTTTTTTTTTTTAATTTTTTAAACATTTATATATTTTTGGGACAGAGAGAGACAGAGCATGAACGGGGGAGGGGCAGAGAGAGAGGGAGACACAGAATCCGAAGCAGGCTCCAGGCTCTGAACCATCAGCCCAGAGCCTGACTACAAATGGCTTTTTAACTAGTTCTTAAAATTTTTAATTTGCCCCCTGATTATTTCTATGTATTTTGATTTCCAGAAAGAGATGTAAAAGTTCTGGATATTGCCAGAGCCCTCCAAGGAGAAAAAGAAATCTGTAAATAGACAATAAAATCCCACCTGTTATAAAATATATGCTTTAATTAAGTTTTTACAGTTTGTTTTAGAATCAGGTTAATATAGTGGAAAATACTACCCTTGGCTTTTTCTGCTTCATGTTCTGGTTTTGCCCCTCTAGGTTCCAAAAGCATATTTCTTTTTCTTTTTCTTTTTTTTTTAATATGAAATTTATTGTCAAATTGGTTTCCATGCAACACCCAGTGCTCATCCCAAAAGGTGCCCTCCTCAATAACCATCACCCACCCTTCCTGCCCTCCCACCCCCCCTCAGTTTGTTCTCAGTTTTTAAGAGTCTCTTATGCAAAAGCATATTTCTTGATAAAACTGGAACTATTCCATTCCTTTCTGTCAGTTCTGTCAGAAAGTCATCAACCACTGGTGTTATTCTTTAAAGAACACAGAATTCAAGGAACAGATAAACAGTTTAATGTACTGTTCTTAAGCATGATTTCATCAGAAATCTAATGGCATAAGGGCTGTTAGTTATATAGCAGTTTTTAATTCTAATTTTCCCACATTTTACAAAAGAAACAGGATTTTTTGTTACTAACCTTTCAATGGGGGTAGCTTTCAGATGGTATAGTGCAACCAAGAGCACAATGAGAACTACTGGAAGTTTCAGGAGGCACATTGCTTCTCAAATTTTCTGAAAAGAATAATTCAGCATCGAAATCAAGAAATGTCTTATAGCTCTGATTGATGGAACTTGAGACTAGAGCCTACTTTAAAAAAATCTCTTTAAACATAATCTCCAAATATAGCAATTTTATTGATACAGTCTCTTGATACTGTTTAAACAATTTTCAAATATTTTCAAAATTTTCAATTTCCCAATTTCCTTCTCTAAACGATCTGGAAAGTTGATATTATACCACATTATTGCTTTAGCCTTTCTTTGAAATAAGTATATATTTGATCCCAAATCTAAGTTTCCCTAAACAAATGATATTTTCCCATAAACAGGAAGCTCTTTACCTTTTAGTGTTTCAGCGTCAGCAATATCAGAGAATGCCTCTAATGGTAAGAAAGCTTTATAAACAATCCCAAGCTTGCATCCACTGGAGTATTTGCCCCCACACTTGCCAATGAGTAATCCAGCTCTTATATACTCTTCACACCTTTCCCGGCTCTGACATCAGGCAGCTCAGAGAAACTGTCATTAATTTCCATCCCTATAGAAAGTGCCTCATAGACAGCAGAAGCAGATGGGTCATTATTATATTACATTAACACATCAGTAAATATTAAGGTAGCAGATACAGAGTGTCTTTGTGCAGTTAATGGTGTGTCACACACAGCAGAAGTTTGAATTTTCCATTTTTGTGAAATACAAGAGTGGATTTTCAAAGATTAAGTGGTATGCTCTAGTAAAGGATTGATAGAAAGAAGTGATTAAGAATAACAAATGTGTTTATATGCAAAGAGTGAAGCCAGGGACATTGAAGAATCTAATGAGGAAGCTAAAGCCAAATGACCCCAATGGCTTAATTCCATGAACATTCAGTAGTAGAGTAAACTATGAGGCCAGGGTGGATAAAAAACGACACTTAAAAAGATGGGGGGGGGGGCAGAAAGAAATCGAAAGCTACTTATAATGAAATGGGGATGGAAGATTAAAGGCAGCAAAACCATAATTTTCAATCCCCAAATTCATTTGTCAGCATTTAAATAGAGACACATATCTGTGTGATTAAGAATTTTTTTGCTGACTTTTTCTATTATTACATAGAAACATCACAATTACTTTGAAAGAATATTTAACTTGTTATTTTTATTTTCTCCAAATTGTTCTTTCTTTTCTTGTATTTCTAAGTTATATTTAAGTTAATGTTCTAAGTTATGACAATAGCCGATGTAGCAAGTAAGACAAATTCCAAATGCTTGTGGAAATATGCATATCTATGCAATCTAAAAACGATGGAAGTACTCCAAGTAAAGAAAATAAGTTCACTGAACTCATATAATTCTTTAAAGCTTAGTAATATAGTTTGAGGGTGGTTAGTAAAAATTTCAGGAAAAAAATCAGTTTTCCGAATCCTTATTCTAATTATCCAATGATTCTGCAATTTTAATATTTCTGTAAAATTTACTGATATTCCAAAAAGAAAGAAAACATAAACTCAAATGATTTTTGAGTTTTTGGTTATACCTGGGTGCCTCAGTTGATTGAGCGTCTGACTCTTGATTTCGGCTCAGGTCATTAGCTCATGGTTCGTGGGTTCAAGCCCTGAGTGGGGGAGGTTCATACTGACAGTGGGGAGCCTGCTTGGGATTCTCTCTACCTCGTTCTCTGCCCCTCCCCCACTCATCCTCTCTCTGTCTCTTTCTCTCTCTTAAAATAAATAAATAAACTTAAAAAATATTTTTAAAAATCAAGTGATTTGGAAGAATGATAATTTCCTGTAAGAAAATGATTGATGTATTTAACAAAGTATATACAATGATTTAGAAAAGATAACAGAAGCCCAGAGATGTTAAATAGCTTATTCAGCATTATACATCTAGTTCATGTTGAAACCTTGAGCCAAAGCTTGGTTTTTCTGATTTATGGTCTAGTGTTCCTTTAAACCAAAATACCTGCTTTTAGCTACATATTTATTTTATTTCCCTATTTTTTTTCCCCTCTGAGATGTTGAAGGTCCCAAACATAACATTCAAAAATTGGTTCTCTCTCCCTGTAGGAAATTAATGTTATAAGGAAAATGTTCTACCTAAGAAAGAACAGGAGAACCTGAATCTTTTTAAGGGCTACCTTATGTCAGTCATAGTTATTTAATTGATATATGATTCCTCACTTCATCTTCACACGTCTGTTTTCATCATTAGATGATGATACAGTGATTCAGAGAATGTAAGTGGCTGCTTAAAGTTGCACAGCTACTCAGGCCAAAGTGAAATTCAAATTCTCATCTCCTTGTTCCATGATATTTATTTCTTTGTTATAAAGGATCTCTGTTCTCATATACTGAATTGCTAATTCCTTCCTGTAAATGTTGTATCTTATTATAACACTTCAAATGACTCAGTTGCAGCCAAATATGGCCTTAGGCAGTCTCTTTAATGTTTGGTAAGGTCAACATCTATCCCAATCTCTAACAGCTTTAGGTCTTTCATGCTTCCTACACCATTGAAAGTGGAGGTGGTAGATTGTCTTTATGAGGTAACTCCATTACCAGATAATAAGCTCCTTCCTACATGACAAACATTACTGTCATTCATCTTTGTACCCACTTTAGCCTTGCTAGTCCAAGCGTAAGTAATGCCATGGCAGTTTGGCCTTATTTGGAAGCTTGTTACAATTTCAGGCCCCACCCCAGAGCTACTGAATCAGAATGTGCATTTAAGAAAAGATTTTCCTGGGGTGCCTGGATGGCTCAGTCAGTTAGGTCTCTGACTTCGGCTCAGGTCATGATCTCATGCTTTGTGAGTTTGAGCCCAGCTCAGAGCTGGAGCCTGCTTCAGATTCTGTGTCTCCCTCTCTCTCTGCCCCAACTCCCATTCACGCTCTGTCTCTCAAAAATAAATAAACATTGAAAACAAATTTTTTTTAATTTAAAAATATCTTCCCTGGGTGACTGTATGCACACTAAAGTTTGAGAAAATCTGGTCTATTGCACATTCCATTTATTTATGATTCAATAAACACTGATTAAGGACACATTCTATGACAGGGAATGTTCTAGGGACTAGAGCTACAACACTGAACAAAGCCAAGTCCCTGCTGTCATGGGAGCTTAGAGCCAGTGAAGGAAACAAAATCAAAGAAAGTGAACAAGTGAATATGTAATTACAAGTGTGAAGTGCTGTGGAGAAAACTAATTTGGTAGTGAGAGAAAGAAAAGTGGTGATGTTTAAGTTGAATCCTAAACCATAAGAGATGACAAAGGAAAAAGTAATGGAAAGTGTTTAAGATCTGAGAAACAACATGTGAAAATTCAGGTAATTGAAGGAGAAATTGGTGTAAAGATTATAGCGTTAAAAAATCAATGTGGTGTTGTACATCTGAAACAAATGTAACGTACGTCAACTACACTCAAATAAAAAAAGTAATAAAAAAATAATAAAGAAAACATCAGGCTGACTACTGTGGGTGGACTGGATCAGAGGGGAGCAAGAGTAAAAGCAGGAAATCTGTTGGAAGACTATGGCAGTGTCCAGATGTGAGACAGTGATGCTACACATAGGGTGATAGCAGAGCAATAGAAAAGTAAATGAGTTCAAATCACATTTGGGATCATTACATGATTTGACAATGGATTAAGTATGGAGAACAAGTGAATGGGAACAGAGCATTAAAATGAGAGCCAGGTTAGGATATAATTAATAATACAAATTAATGGGCTTTTCATCAAATTTATAAAATATATTTTATAAATCTTTTAGAAAATAATTTCTATTTTTTATCAAATTTGTGTGTCTACAATTTTTAAAAATCAAATACTATCAGAAGTCTAATAATAAAAACAGCAGTCTTCTGTCTTCCTTCAGCCTACCTCTGAATTTTGCTTTCCATAGGTAATCAATTTTAGCGATTTTAGCTGTTTTCTCCATATTTTGAAAATAATCTCTTCTTAGGACACCTGGGGGGCTCAGTCAGTTAAGTGTCTGACTTGGTTTCAGCTCAGGTCATGATCTCATGGTTCATGAGATCAAGCCTTGAATCAGGCTCTGTGCTGACAGCACATATCCTACTCTGGAAGATAAAGAGTTAGTTAGTTAGTTAGTTAGTTAGTTTATTTACTTGATTGATTGATTGATTGATTGATTTTTAAGTAATCTCTATACCCAACATGGGTTTGAACTCAACCCTGAGATCAAGAGTTTCATGCTCTACCAACCGAGCCAGCCAAGCACCCCAAGAATTAGCATTTAACAGCACACTTACTTTTCTTCTTTATCCTGTTCCTCTAATATTTTAATAAAACATTTTGAGGGGCACGTGGGTGGCTCAGTCGGTTGAGCGTCCAACCTCGGCTCAGGTCATGATCTCATGGTCTGTGAGTTCAAGCCCCTCATTGGGCTCTGTGCTGACAGCTCAGAGCCTGAAGCCTGCTTTGGATTCTGTGTCTCCCTCTCTCTCTGCCCCTACTCTGCTCATGCTCTCTCTCTCTCTGTCAAAAATAAATAAACATTTAAAAAAATTAAAAAAAATAAAACATTTTGATTGTATCAATATTAGATGGATTTTTTTCAATATTTACATTTAATTTTTTTTACAGAAACTTTCAAATGTATATAAAATTTTGATAATTATCAAATCACAAATCTATCTTATTTTCTCTATATTCCTACCTACTTTCCTCCCACTCCATACCGGATTGTTAAAAACAAATCCTAAACATTATACAATTTTATATGTAACATTTTTCAGGTTTATATTCATGAAAGACAAGGATACTTTATACAACACAGCTACAAAATTGTTGGTATAGCTAAAGTGAAATTTTACAGTAATTCCTTAATATAATTAAATAATCTAATCAGTGTTCACATTTTTCAGTTGTCTATAAAATATTTTTAATTAGTCTGTTAGAGTCAGAATCTAAATAAGATTGCATTTTTTTGTCTCTCATGACTCTTTTAATATATAATTTTCCTTCCTTTCTTTTTCCTACCATTGACTTATTAAAGAAAACAGGTCATTTATTGTATAGAATTCCCCACATCCCAGATTTTGCTGATGGCAATCATGAGGTATCATTTAATGTGTTCCTTTCTCACTTGTATTTTCTCTATACTGGTTGTTTGGTCTAGAGGCTTGATCACATTCAGGTAAGAATGCTTCAGTGATACTGTTTATTCCTACTGCATTACAACATCTGGTTGAATCTCTTTTATGGCATTAAGACTGATCAGCGAGGTCAGATTTTGTCAGCCACATTGTCCATTCTGAGTTCTCCATTAGCCTTTCACTCTGATTTTAGCAACCATTGGTTATAATTGCCTAGAACCATTGTTTTATTACAGGCTTCCAGTGATAGTCTAATTCT